CTGGCTATCAGCCCCTCCACCCAGGACTAGCCAAGAATGGCCTCAGGGTGGTGCCAGCTGCCACCACCCGTACCACTCAGCCCTGCCTCTTCCTGGCTGAATCACAGGGGCTGGCAGGGCAGGCCGCAATGAGGCCCAGACTGAGTGCTGGGAGGGCCTGCCTGGTATCTCAGTGGGAGCCGTGTCCAGTGGCTGCCTCTGGACAGCCACAGCCCTGTGAACCTGTCTCTGCCCACTGGGTCATTCACCAGGATCTGACACTCTGGGAGATGCCCTTTGTGGCACAGCACAGGGAGGGTGAGCACTTTCTCTGGACTGTGCAGGCTGAGGGGTCTCTTGTCCTCAGAACCCTCACTTCCAGCTGGTTCTAGAGGCCACAGGTGGGTTCAGGCAGAAGCAGCTTCTAGAACTCAGGTGCAGGGCCCGGCGTGGTGGCGCAAGTGGTTAAAGGTCCTCACCTTGCACGCCCGGGATCCCATATGGGTGCCGGTTCTAATCCCGGCAGCCCCACTTCCCTTCCAGCTCCCTGCCTGTGGCCTGGGAAAGTAGTCGAGGACGGCCCAAAGCTTTGGGACCCTGCACCCGCGTGGGAGACCTGGAAGAGGCTCCTGGCTTCGGATCGGCATAGTATCGGCCGTTGCGCTCACTTGGGGAGTGAATCATCGGACGGAAGATCTTCCTCTCTGTCTCTCCTCTCTGTATATCCGCCTTTCCAACAAAAAAAAAAAATAATAAAAATAAATCTTTAATAGAACTCAGGTGCAGACAGGGACATTACCTGCCCAGGATGACCCCTGGCAGGGCCCTGGGCTCTGGTACCAGCCTAGCCCCCATAAACACGTGCTGAAGTGTGGCTCCCTGGCTGTGTTGCGGCCCTCTGACATCCCTGGACAAGGGCTCCTGCTTCTGCGTGGGAAGCTAAGGTCCCTGACCTCATACCCCAATAGCAATCCTCACAGCACATCTTGGGGTGCCATGGTGTGGTGAGACACAGCGTTTCCAGGATCATACCTGGGGCACAGGCAGTCCAGTTCTAGGAGCTGGTGTTGTGTGCACTGGCTGCTTAGGGAGGCTCAAAGCTCGGGGGCTCTGTGGTCCAGTGCTCACATTGCGTCATCAGACCAGTGAGAGGCTGCTATTGGTCAGCGTGCAGCCTAGCACCCACATGAGTTCCCAGGGACCCCTGTGTACCCTCCTTACTCCCCTGCCTAACCAGGAAGCAGGTCCTGGGGTCAGTCAACCACCATCTGGTGCCAAGCCTGGGACTGCCAGGGAGGCTGCATGGAGACAATGACACCTTACAGAGCGCCCTCACTGCCAAGCCACGGGCCAGAACCCTGCTTCCTGTGGTCAACTCAGGGACAGGCACCGCCCAAGCTTACACTCAGCCACAGCTGGCTGGACTCAAGTCCTGGCCCACAGGCAGGCTCCAGGCCATGCCCAGCTGACTCAAGGAGGCTTCAGCTGCCACCCAGCCATCTGCAGTGTTCCCTCCCACACTCCTCTGATGCCCAGATGGCAGCACAAATTAGGTTAAGGAGGAGTTTAGGTGAGGAGTCATACACCGAAGGCTCCTGGGTGAGGCTGGTCGGCTCTCTACGTGCTGTTTCATGTGTAATTACAGGTTGCTCATCGCAATCACCAAACGTGGGATTATGAGCGTTGGTTTTCAACGCATCATTTGACCACAGTTATGATAATAACGTCCCGGTGAGTAGGGCAGCAAAAATGACCTCAGAGGGGGAGGTCAGGGTGACCAGTGGAGCCAAGGGGAGGGGCACAACCGACCCATGTGGTGGAGAACATCTCAAGTCTGAGGTGTGGTTGTTTGTTGTTGTTGTTTTGCTTTGCTTTGGAGAGGGACAGTTTCAAAGGGTTCTAGTAGAAGTCCCCTGTGCATTGGAATGGCCGTCTGCACACATGGTAAGCTGTGATGCTGCTGACCTGTGACAGCGCCTGCCATCTGTCTGTGCCCAGGGAGCTTGCTGCTGTGGGATGAGGATGTTCCCAGCTCAGGGAGCAGGAGCCCAGTGGCACCTGTGGCTCAGGGGTGTTTCTGCAAGGGGAGCTGGTACCGAGTAAGAGTAATGATGCCGCCACTGAAGACTCACCTACTCTGCAGGTGTCAAGGTTGCAGAAGAAACCCTGGTCCACGACCCGAATGAACCACACAGGGAGTAGGTAACAGAGACTGGCTCATGTCTTGTCCAGGCACTGATGCAGGGCCTGTCCAGGTCCCAGTGCTGCACCCTCCATCCTCACCCTTAGCAGCAAGGGTCCCTGTCCAGAGCTGGAGAAGAGAGAACTGTGTAAGACTAGGCCAGGAGCCCTGTGGATCCGGGTCAGGCACATGGCGAGAGCTATAGGTGCCATGGGACCAAGGTCAGGCACACAGGAGAGCCTGCAGGTGCCATGGGACCAAGGTCAGGCACACGGGGAGAGCCTGCAGGTGCCGAGTGGACCCAGGTCAGGCACACGGGAGAGCCTGCAGGTGCCGAGTGGACCCAGGTCAGGCACACAGGAGAGCCTGCAGGTGCCATGGGACCAAGGTCAGGCACACGGGGAGAGCCTGCAGGTGCTGAGTGGATCCAGGTCAGGCACACAGGTTAGCCTGCAGGGCCCTGTGGACCCGGGTCAGGCACACAGGTTAGCCTGCAGGGCCCTGTGGACCCGGGTCAGGCACACGGGGAGAGCCTGCAGGTGCCGAGTGGACCTGGGTCAGGCACACTGGGAGAGCCTGTTGGGCTGAGTGGACCCGGGTCAGGCACACGGGAGAGCCTGCAGGTGCCGAGTGGACCCGGGTCAGGCACACCAGGCCTTGAAGTTTCTTGCTGCTCCCCCAGGAGCAGGATCTCTCTTGATCGGGAATCCTGTTTGCAGTGACATTTCCTTTGCCAGCTGTGGTGCCAGGGAGTGCCAGCACTTTGGGGTAGCAACTCTGCTCTACAGGGGCCAGTCTGTGGGGTGGACCCGTCTTGACAAATGCTGACCCCTGTCTGTGGGACACCAGCTTCAGGACAGCAGAATGGGCACCATGTCCCAGAACTGGCCCTGGCATGGCATAGCGTTCACGTGGCCCCTGTGGCCCAGGAGCCTCTAAGCAGGCCTTGCCAGTCCTCAGCTGCTGGGGTCCATGTTAGCAGCTCAAAGGGCCCCAGCAGCTACGGCTGGGCTGCAGCTCCCACTGGTTTATGTGAGGGCTGAGTGTGTGCTGGGCAGAATCAGGCTGGACTACAACACCCATTGGTTCCAGTGGAAGACAGGGCTGGAAACAGAACCAACCCAGCAATTGCAACCACTAGCTGATGGGGTGATCTATGCCGGCAGGCCCTGTACCTGCTAGTACATACAAGAATCTGGTCTGAGAACACCTCAAAGTTTCTTTTGGGATCTCCCCAATCGAACTGCTGGACTCAGAACCCTAACCATGAAAAGACAGAGGACAGGGCCCGGCGCGGTGGCGCAAGTGGTTAAGGTCCTCGCCTAGCACGCCCGGGATCCCATATGGCCGCCGGTTCTAATCCCGGCAGCCCCACTTCCCTTCCAGCTCCCTGCCTGTGGCCCGGGAAAGCAGTCGAGGACGGCCCAAAGCTTTGGGACCCTGCACCCGCGTGGGAGACCCAGAAGAGGCTCCTGGCTTCGGATCGGCATAGTATCGGCCCGTTGCGCTCACTTGGGGAGTGAATCATCGGACGGAAGATCTTCCTCTCTGTCTCTCCTCTCTGTATATCCGCCTTTCCAATGAAAAAATGATAAAAATAAATCTTTATAAAAAAAAAAAAGACAGAGGACAGAACAAGTCAATCAATCACCTCAGCTATATGTTGGCAAACGGAGACTCTAAGATGGACTACGTCAATCAGTGGATTCTTCAGCGACATCATCGTGCTTGGAGTGGTGAGATTGGCAGCAATTCATAACTGTTGAACTATCAAAACCACTCGAGCAAGACCCTCAGAGCATGCCCCACATCTGGGACATGGGGTGGCTGGGAGATTGGGTGGAGCTTCTCCCTTAATATCCCCCTTTACCTCAGATACATGAAGGAAACAATATGGAAATAATAGTCTTACCCACTTTCCTGTAGCCATTGAACCTTTTTACCCGAATTAACTACATAAAGATTGTCAAAAATATAATTTAAAAATGGAAAAAGAAAAAAAGGGGGGCCCGGCAGGTGCCCTACCCCCTTTCACCAGCCCATGGCCTACAGTCCAGCTGAGTACTGCACTCTGAGCCAGATGGGCACGAGGTGGGTCCCAGAGCCTGGTCTCTGGCCCTGGATTTTAGGGGTCACGCCCTGTAGGCTCAATGACCTTGGTGGGACAACCTGGTACTTGCCCAGTTTCTGGCCAATTGTTTCTTGGTCGGATGACTCTCAGTTCCAGCACACCCCCGCCTGGCTGCCCAGGGGGTCCACCCACCCAAACCTCTTGCAAGATCAGGCCAACTGGACCACCTAGACTCTCCCAGAGTCTCCATCAAGGAGGCTCTGACTTTCAAGAGCCCAGAGGAAACCCCCAGTGCCCCCATCCTGCAGGCCTCCTAGGAGCCAGCGGCCACTGTGCCAAGATGTCCCCTCGTTGACAGCCTTGGTCCCTGATGCGAGGGACTCAGGCGCACCGGTGGGACAAGGACTCATTGACCTCTTACTTGGAGGTTTCTAACCCGGGCGGGAGTGCTTCTGATGCCCCAGTGCGGAGCCAAAGCGTCGTTTCCGGCGAGCCCGGCGAGGGCGCTGGCCAGCCGAGGGGCAGGGGCGGGTCCAGGGGCGGGTCCGGGGAGGGCCAGGCCGCCGGGGCGGAGCGCGCGGGCCGGGGCGGGGCGTCCCGGCGGGGCGGGATGAGCCGAACCCCGGCCTCGCCAGTCCGGTGACGGCGGCGGCGGCTGCGGGCGCGGGGCGCGCGCGGTTCCAGCGGCTGCTGCGCGGGCCGGGATGGGCGGAGAGCGCGCGCCGTGACCGCCCGCGCCGAGCCGCCCCCGGGCCCGGGTCTGCCCAGGCGGCGCGGGGCCGGACGGCGGCCGCGAGCGGAGCATGCCGGACGCAGCCCGGGCGGTCGGGGGGCGCGCGACTCCGCGGCGGCTGCTGTCCCCCGCCCCGGGCCGGCCGCTGGCCGCGCTGCTGGCCGCCCTCCTGGCCGTGCTGCTGGGCGGTGTGGGCGCGCAGTACTCGAGCGACCTGTGCAGCTGGAAGGGGAGGTGAGTGCGCGCGGTCGACCCGCGGCAGACCCCGGCCACTGCCGGACACCCCAGCAGATGCCGGCTCCGAGCAGACCCCGGCCCTGCCCACATCCCAACCCCGGCCAGACTGCAGCAGCGAACTCCGACTCGCGGTGGAGTCCGGCACCGGGCAGACCTTTGCCTCTGCAGAGCCCGGCAGATCCAGGGCCCGGCTGGGGGGCTCGGGTCCGGGTGCCTCTGCCCCCGTGCCATCCCAGAACAAAAGAGCCGCGGGTCCCTGTCCGGAGGACGCCCGGGGCGGTGCCGGCGGCGCGGCGGGGCAGAACTCGCCAGTGCCTGCGGGGTCCCGAGCACCGCGCCCTCGGGACCTTCTGCCGGGAAGGGTCTCGCTGGTGACCGCGGCCGCCGCGGTCCGCGCCACTGAGGCCGACCCCCGTGCGGGGCAGGGTGCGGGTGGGGAGCGCAGCCGCCGAGCCCGGCTTGTGAAGGTCGGGCTGCCCTTGGCAGCGGCACGCGGTGCTCGGCGACCCCGGCCGCGAGGACCCCGCCCCCGGAGGCGATGCGGGCCCGCGTGCGCCTCGCGCGGTGCGGGGCGGTCGTGCGCGGCTCCCGGCCGGGCCCTGCCCGGACGCCGCGGCCGCCCGGAGCCCTCGCGGAGCTGCACGCTTGCACCGCCTTAGAGCTGGGCTGGGCTGGAGCCTGGACGCGGCCTTGTTGCGGTCCTTGCCCTCCACTGCCGTCCCGCGCTCTGCTTGGCAGCCTCGGCGTGCCCAGGACGTCCCAGACGCACACTGGGTCCATCCTGCTGGGTGAAACTGTTCTCAGTTCCCAAGGATAGCCTGGCTGCGAGTGGGGCAGAGGGGGCGCCGAGGCCGAGACCAGCCCGACACCTCCTCCCTGGCACCTGCCCTGGAGGCACTGAGAGGCTCCGTTTATGAGTGCACTGGGCTGCTGGGACCGTCGGGCAAGGGGCCAGGAACCTTGTGGGGAGAGGGTTCCTGGAGGGCACTCCCACTTGTCCACTGCTCCTCTGCCTCCACCTTAACCCCCTCCCATCAGCAGGGGCACCCCATCCCAAGTCCTTCCTGACATCAGCCCACGCTGACCCCCTGTCCTCCCGGGTGTCCCCTCTTTCCGCTTCCCCCTCCCCCGTGTGGGTGCGTCTGGGCAGGGGCCTGCTGGCTATCCTTCACCTGGTGCAGGGCAGGTCTGTCCCCAGGCGCAGCTGCTCTGGCCGTCCACAGAGTTTCGCCTGTGGCCCCCCTGGTACTTTGCAGACCTTCCACCTCTGCTGTAGTGTGGGTATTACTAGCAGGTCTGAGGTGAGGGCTCTGGTGGGAGGTGTCAACACGGATGACCCCTCCCAGGCCTTCCAGCTGGTGCCTATCTGACTGTCACATGTGGCTTGTACTGTGAGAGCTGAGTCGGGTTGTGGAGGGTCCCTGATTCCTGAGTGTCTCAGGAGACTGTGGAGGACCACCAGGCACGGTCCCCCACAGGCATAGCCTCCGCTGTGAGCTGTGAAGGCACCAGGTCCAGGGAGTTTTGTCACTTTGGTTTTCCTTCTAGCCTTTCAGCTAAATGCCTTTTGAGCACACTGCCAAGTGCACCTGGTCCAGTGCACACGGTGACTCTTGCTGCCCTGCCCTGGCTTCCTGCTGGGAGGTGTGTGGACCCCCCAGAGACTCCATGTGAGAAGAGAGTGGGCACAGTGCCTCAGCCCCTGATGCCCCCACACGGGGCACAGGATGACTCGCTGCTGTGTGTGGCAGCCACTGCCCTCTGGTCTGACTTCCGCATGACGCTGTAATTATGCCTAGCCCCATGCACCTGCCAGGGGAGCTAGTCTGTTTTATTGGCTGTGATTTGTAAGTTTGTTTTGCTGGCTGTCTGAGCCTCATGGGGGCGGGGAGCAGGTCAGGAGGGTCACCCAGTCCTGCCTCCTGTGGTGCTCACCTGGGGGCTGGAGGTGACCAAGGGGCCTGGATCCTGAGCCAACCCTGCAGCAGATGCGTTTTGTTTCCTGAAGAAAGGGTTCTGGGAGCTTGATCTGGCCAGCGCACTGCTTATTTCACATAAAAATCCCAAGAATGCGGGTGAACCTGTCCGAGATCTGATCAGGACCACTGGACCGAGGTCCCAGGGTTAGTTTCAGGCCTGCTCGCTGGCTGTGACCTAGCAGTAGCCATGGCTGACATTTGCATCGAAGGTTCAGGGAAGAGGGACTGAAGGTTTAATGGTTTCAGTTTCTCGAAATTGTAACACTGTGGCATACTCAGTGTTTCCTGGTGCCCACGGGTGAGGTCAGCTGTGACTCAGAAACCCCGCCCTGCCACGGAGAACATTTCCCTCTGATCTTGGAGCCTGGGCACCGCAGGGTCCTGGGGCACAGATGAATGAAAATGAAACACAACCAGAAGTGGGCGAAGCTTAAGCCGTTGCCACATGGCCTTGTGCCACTGTGGGTCTCTGGGACATGGGTTCCCACTCCCCCCGCCCACATGCCTCGGGGTGGGAAAGCTGCTTTTTCTGCCTTCTCCTTCCTCTGTGTCCACACTGAAGAGGCCCTGATGGGCCTTCCCACTGAGGCCTGGGCCACCTGGGGCTGGAATGGTCATCCCTTCCTCCCACAGTGCCAGAGCTGCCCGTCCTGGGCTGCTCTGGTGGGACCTGATGCAGCCCCTGCTGGAGGCTGCCTTGTGGGCGGGGGGCCCTGGGCAGGCGTTGCTGATAGCTGTCCCCCAGCTGATTGTATCTTACCCCTCCTCCCCACAGCGGGCTGACGCATGAGCTGCACAGGAAGGAGGTGGAGCAGGTGTACCTGCGCTGCTCGGAGGGTACCGTGGAGTGGATTTACCCAACTGGAGCGCTCACTGTGAACCTACGTCCCAACACCTTCCTGCCTGCCCGGCAGCTGGCCGTGTGCATCAAACCCTACCGGGACTCTTCAGGAGCTAATATTTATCTGCAAAAAACTGGAGAACTGAGATTGCTGGTGCGGGACGGAGACCAGAGCCCCGGCCGGGTACAGTGCTTTGGCCTGGAGCGGGGTGGCCTGTTCGTGGAGGCAACTCCCCAGCAGGACATTAGCAGGAGGACCACGGGCTTCCAGTATGAACTGACCAGCAGACGCAGGGAGCTGGACCTAGACGCGCTGTCTGGTGAGTGAACTCATGGCTTGTGCTGCAGCCGTACGTCTGTCCGTCTGTCCAATCTCCTGCTGACCCTCCTTGGGGGCCTGTGAGGTGGGGCCTGCTCACCTCCAGCCATGTCTGCCTGGGGACCCCTGGAAGTGCCCCAGAACAGGTGGACAGCACTCCTCCAAGGCTGGTGTGGCGGTGGACCTGCCAAGTGTCTGGCCTTGAGCTACCAGGTTGGTGTGGGGAGCCGAGGCTGACCCTGTAGCCCAGAGTGGGCAAAGCCATGATGTCGTTGACCATGGGGCCAACCCAAACTCAGAGCTTGTCAGGATAGAGCATCCTTGGGACCTGGGGACAGATGCAGGGGTCTGGTCAGAGAGCTGTGTGTACGGAGGAGACGCCGGCCAGTGTCAGCAGAGCAGAGTGACCGGGGCCACCTTTCCTGGGGAGGAGCCTGGGCTGCCCCTGGCGAGGCTATGGGCTGACTGGCTGCAGGCGTCTTCAGACCCCACTGGAGGGTCCTGGCCAGTGGGGCCCCTGTGTTCCTGCCAGCCCTGACTCTGCAGAAACTCTGGCAAGCTTGCTTTAGGGGTGCTGCCTGAGGTGTGGGTGGGTCTGGGTGCTCAGCTCAGCTGCAGAGCATCGCTGCACAGTCTCCAAGCTCTGCTGGAAGAAAGATGCTGCTGGGAAAAGCCTGGACCTCCTCAGGTGTGAGAGAGCAGACTTTGGTCCCAACTGGATCCACATTTTATTCTGGTTCACAGCAGATTTAAAGCCTTCCTTCTGTCTCCAGCTAGGCTGGCCTGTTGCAGGGCTCAGTCACGGCCCCACAGACCCTCCGTGGGGGGTCTGTATTCCTGCCCTGGTAGACCCCTGTCGGCCAGCCCCCTTCCTGATGCCTGCAGAACTGGGCAGAACTCTTGATGGCTTGTGTCTTGACCAACATAACTGGTGGACTGGAGGTTGAGGAGTGGGAGGACTCTGTTGTGTTCTGGGGCCGTGCACATAAATTCAGAATCTGGAAAAGCCCTAATCCCAGGTCCAGGCTGGTCTTTCTGGCTGAATGACTGACCCCCTGACTGGGGCATGAGGTGTAGGGCAGGCCCAGGGTCCGATAGGAACTCAGATAGCAGGGGTGGAGGTGGGGGCTGGCAGCACTGGTCACATGTTTGCTCAAGGCCAGCGGCCCTGTACTGACTGGGACGAGCCTGGTGCCTACACCCAGTGGTGTGAGAGAGACCTGGCTGGTTTGTGTGGCCATGTTTCTGTGGAAGGCCAGTGGTGCTGGCCTCACCTGGGAGGGTCTGACAGCGCTGCGACCTCCCCCAGGAGATGGCTGTACAGGCTAAGCATTGCCGTCTGTTGTGCCCCCCAGTTCCTATGCCCACGATTCCATTGCTTAAACTGTGTCAGCAGCGTCCAAGGGGCTGAATGTGACCAGAGCCCCACACAGCAGGATCAGGGTGACCCGGTCAGGGCTTTGGTGCCCGTTTTGCAGCCATCCTGCTGTGCAGGGCACGGGCATCTTGCTCCCCAATCCACTGGCCCGCTGCTGCCAGTGCTGCCTCGCATCTAGACCCTCGCGACAGTCTCACCGTAGCCAGGGTGACCTGACAGAAGTCCAGCCAGTCAGAGGGTTGCACCTGAATGGTCGCCCACCAGACGCGAGCGTTAATGAAAGTTGTCTTTCGTGCTGACTTGAGAGAATGGTGTGTGAGTGGGTGTGAGCATGCGTGGAGCTGAGCGTGCGTGTGCAGCTGTGAGTGCGTGCAGGTATATGTGAGCGCACCCTTGCTGCTACTCCAGGTGGCAGCAAGGACATTGCTCCAGTCCCCTGGTGTCACTTCCCTAAGCCTGCATCAGTGGTCAGCAGGAGGGTGGACAGAGGGGCAGCTGCTCTTGCCCAGGCACAGATGGGGGCAGCTGCTCCTACCTGGGCACAGATGGGGGACGGGGAGGGATCCCAGCCAGGGTTGCATCTGACACTGGGAGGGAGCTGCTGACCCTGGTCAGGATGCCTCCAGAGCCGGAGGGCATACTGACGGTGTGGGGCTGTTTGCTGGCCATGCGAATGGCTTGCCTGCCTGCAGGCGGAGAGCCGGGTCCTGTCACCTGGCCTGCTCTTTGCTCCTCAAGGGTGTTGCCCAGGGTTTACTGCGGGGCTGCCCGCATGCTCTGGGCTTGGGCTGTGGGCTCAGCTCCGTGCCTCAGGGAGGGGCCTGCACAGCTGGAGAGGGAGCAGACCGAGCTCCTCCTGCCTCCCCTCAGAAACTGGCTCTGCCTGCTGAGCCTGAGCAACCAGTCCCACAGCCTTCCCTGGAACGAAGTCCATGGTGGAGGAGAAGCCCTGGGACGGGGGAGAAGCGCAGGTGCTGTGGCCTCCTGGGTGTGGCCACCTGGGCTGAAAGCTCCTCTGGACCCTTGCTTGGGCCAAGTGTCTGCCCAGCCGGGGTGGGGGTGGTGTCGTCAAGGCAGGTGTTGGCCTTGGGACTCACCCAGGGGATGCCTCCTCCCCTGCGCCCAGAGGCCGCTGACACCTACATTTAGGGAGGTCTCTGATGCTTCCATCACTTTCCAGCGTGGTCTTCCTCTGGCAGACCCCTAGCCCTTGCCTTTCCAGGTGCTTAAACCGGACTTCAGCCCTTTGCCCAGTCTGCCTTTCCGCAGCCAGGGAGCTCACCCTGCAAGGGTGCTGCATGTAGCTCAGGGTGGGCAGAGCAGTCTGCTGGGCGGCCCTTTACTCCCTCAGCTGTCAGGCAGGGTGGGCAGGCTGGGGTGCCGACCAAGGCTGGCTGCCCTGAGGGGTCAGAGGAAACTCTGGGGCCTGGGCTGGTATCCTGTCGTGTGTGGCTGGGCCTGGCAGCTTCTCTGTCACATGGGGGTCTGCTCCAGACCTCTGGGGCAGCCCATGTGTGCCCTTCCCCTTCCTCATGGCTGCAGCACTGCCTCCTGAAGGTGCTGACCTATTCCCACTGCCCCCTCCGCAAGGATACCTCACCACTGCCATATCACTCCTGACTTGTGTCTGACCTCTGCTCCACGGCCAGCGTGGATGGCTAGTGGTGTAGGCCCACTGGACCTTCATAGGAGCTGCTGGGCAGCCTGAGGGTCAGATGGTCACCCCAGTAGTGGGGACTGCGGTGTCAGGCAGCGGAAACCCTGAGGGCTGTTTCTGATAAGTCTGCAGAAGGCAGAAGGTTGGGGAGTCAGCAAGAACAGCAGCTGGGAGACACCCAGGAGACACCCTGGCGGGGGGGGGGGGGGGTCCATGCACATCTGGACCCTGCTCACGGAGCTTTCTGCTCTGTGCCCAAGGGCCCTGAGTCACAGCACCCAGGTGCTTCTCAGGGTTGGGTGACGTACCAGGTGTGTGGGCAGTGTTTGCTTCTTCCTGGGCCAGGGCTGTCCTGGGGGCGTGGGGGTGTGTGGGCATGCCAGCCAAGGGGAGCCTGTCTTGCTGAGTTTGCAGCTTTGAGCAGGTGGACGTGAGGCCTTAAGCTGTGCCGGTTCCAGAGCACAGGATGTGGGCCACTGGGGCTGAGGCTTCCACACAGAGAGGTCTGCTGCGGGTCTGCCTCGCTTCAGCCACGCAGGAGCTCCTGAGACCTGGCACTTCTGCTTTGGCGGGGAAGGCCAGCCTTGAGCAGGGCTCGATTGACATGGCCCTGGGGGTGTGGCCTCACCTGCCGTGACATGGGGCCTGGGGAAGGGGCCCTGACCTAGCTGGCTGCTCCCTGGCCTCTCTGGGTGCACCTTTACCTGGGTAGCACTACCTGCCTGGGGGGTGGTCCCAACAGTGCAGAGGCACACCCTGGGCGAGAGGATGTGTGGCCCAGCGTGACCCATTCGGCTTTGCTTGGGGCTGAGTTCTCGTTTGTACCGGCACTGGAGGGCCGGCCTGTGTGCCAGCTGCAGTGGCAGAGTGGTATGAGGGATGCAGGCATGGAGACTGTTCACCAAAGCCTCGTCTGAGGTTGTAAAAGGCCTTGTTGTTGGGTGCCTGCCCCTCACGGCTCTCATTGCAGGCATGTCTGCCTCCCACTCTGCTGGGTGCCTCTGTGGTGACCCCTCCCTGCACGGTTGACTCTGACCCTCACCCACGCCATCCGGTATAGGACAGTTGGGACCGAGGCGGGCCTTGGGCGGCCAGGGTGGTGGCATCCAGGCCCTGCCCCAACTCTGCTCTCTTCCACAGCGCCATGCAGCCCCTGCAGCCACACCGAGGTGCTCCTGGCCGTGTGCACCAGTGACATTGGTGAGTGTTGACCAACACTGTCGCACCTTATGCTTGCAGCTCCTAACAGGGAGTCTGACTGGGACCCTGGAGGGCTGCCAAGTCTGGCACAATGCCCACACTTGGACTCATTAGGCAAGCTCACTGCACGTGTGTGTGCATGCACTCATGTGTGGCCAGCTTGGGGTTATCGCAGCTCTTCCCATTTTGTCAGGGAGGAATTTTAGACCCTGCCCCTAGCTACTCTTGGAATGCTTTGTCCACATGGTGTCTGGAGGGGCCCCAGTGCTTATCCCTCGTCCCAGTCTCTGTGTGTCACAGCCCCATGTGGGCGTCTCAGGCCCTGCTGGACACAGGCCTGAGGCTCACGGTGCACAGAGGCTCCTGGGGAAACACCACTCCAAGGACGGTGATGTGGTCACTTGGCCCCCGCACAGCATTGGGGCCCTGGCCCCTGGCACAACCCCTTCCTGTTATATCCTGGTCTTCTCATGCCACCTTGTCCTCCTCGCTGTCCCATGTCTGTCGGACTCAGATATTCTACATGTTGGTCAGCCGGAGGCACTGTGTGGCCTGTTTCCTTCTCCACTCCGTAGGACGACTGCCTATGGATATACAGCACACAACCCACACAAGCACACCCCCTAACAGACACACACAGATGAAGGCATGTCTCACACACACACACACAGGCACCTGTGGGCATGCACCACACACAGATGAAGGCATGTCTCTCACACACACACAGGCACCTGTGGGCACGCACCACACACAGATGAAAGCATATCTCTCTCACACACACACAGGCACCTGTGGGCACACACCACACAGATGAAGGCATGTCTCTCACACACACACAGGCACCTGTGGGCACGCACCACACACAGATGAAGGCATGTCTCTCTCACACACACACAGGCACCTGTGGGCACACACCACACAGATGAAGGCATGTCTCTCACACACACACAGGCACCTGTGGGCACGCACCACACACAGATGAAGATAGCTGTGTGCACACACGTCTCACACACAGATACACAACTGCATATGCGTAGACACTGGTGGGCACACGAGGAATAGCACTTGTGTCTCTGACAAAGGCTGCTTGTTGGAGACTCCTCTTAGCTGCTGAGGTTTCTCTAAGAGTTTGTGTGAGGGGAGCGGTTAGGATGCCTGTGGTACCAAAGCACCCCTGAGCCCCTGAATCCCCCTGAGCCTTGCATCTCCTTGCCTTGCAGTCGTCCGAGGCTCCATCGAGAACGTCACCCATGAGCCGGAGCGGCAGGAGTCAGCCATCCACCTGCAAGTGAGCCGGCTCTACCGGCAGAAGAGCAGGGTCTTCCAGCCAGTTCCTGAAGGCGGGGCCTGGCGGGGACGTGTGTGGACACTGCTGGAGTGTGGTGTGAGGCCAGGGCCTGGCGATTTCCTCTTCACTGGCCACGTGCACTTTGGGGAGGCGCGGCTTGGCTGTGCCCCTCGCTTCCAGGACTTCCAGAGGATGTATCAGGATGCCAAGGAGAGGGGTCTGAACCCCTGTGAGGTGGGCACTGAGTGACCTCGTTGGCCACGGCATTGCCTTTCCCTCCCAAGGAACTGCTGCTGGCCACTTGGGAGGCGCGAGCTCCAGAGGGGCCACATGCCGGGAGGACCTGGCCCAGTGTGCAGGCCCGGCCCAGAGCCCAGGCTGTGAGGTCCGGCAAAGGAGAGCCTGGGTGGCTGGAAGTGCAGTGGACCTGACCACGTTGCTGCTTCTGTGAGGAGGAGCCAGCCCGTGTGCTGGGAGCGGCCTGCATCCTGGATGTGGCACAGGGCCTTGCCTGGCTGCAGAGAGTCTGGGTGCTGCTTGGGGCTCACTGTCTTCAGGTGGAAACTATGGAGTCCAACATGTGTCCTTTCATTCTGTTCTGGACTTTGGGTTCGGGTTCTCCAGTTATGGCCCCTTTGGGGCTGCGGGTTGCTCCGTCCCAGAGAATAAAGACCAGGATCCGAGCTGCCTGGTGTCTGCCTTCCCAGTGCCCACTCAGTCCCTGCAGGATGCTGGCCACCCTCCTGCCAGACCACTGCTGCCTCAGTGCTTCCCCAGGCCACGCCCGTTGACCTCCGAATGACCCTCAGGGAGCTGGGGCTGGTCTGGGTGGGGTCTGGGGATGAGATTTCTGTGGCTACCGTCTCAGATGATTGTCCCCTGCCAGGGACATCCAACAGAGGTCGTGGGGCCTCCCCGAGGCCTCCTTCCTGCTCCCAGTGAGACCCAAATTTCCTCAAGGGAGATCAGCAGCCCATAGGTCAGGTCCACACCAACGCCCTAACCTTCACTTGACTCCATCTTGTAGGACCCTGTTTTCGAGATAGGGCCATGGTCAAAGGTTCCAAGTGGACATGGAGCCCAGGGACACCCCTCACCTGAGTGCACCGAGTGGGGGGTGCCTAGTTACATTGGGCAGCCAGAGATTATAAACTGGCTCATGTTATACAGGCTCAGGTTATGTTTAGGAGTGCGCAGGCTCAGGTGTGAGCTGGGACATGGGGATGTGCTGACACAGGTGTATGCTGACTCAGGCGTGAGCTGGCACACCTCTGCAGTCTCCTGCAGGTCTTAGCAAGTAACAGGTGCTTATAGGCGAGCATGCCAAGCAGCAGGTTGGTGGTGGGGCAGCCCCACTGTGGAAGGGCACAGTCAGAGGGAGGTACCAGCTCGACAGGAGGAGTAACCCTGCTGCTCTTTGTGGGTTTCTGGGCCGACTCCAGGAGGCAGGGCTCAGGAAAAAAGGCTGCAGAACCAGACCTGCGGCTGAGGCTGCCAGGATAACGAGCCAGGGCCTGACCTGTGCTCATGTCAGCACTCAGCAGGTGCTTTGGTCTTCTGTCGCCTAGAGGTACTGCGGCATCTGTATCCCCAGTAGTCTTGTCGGTCCGTGTGGGACAGAGCCCTGGGGCCTGCTGTGGTTCCTGTCCCAGCTTCCCTCCTACCAGAGCCATGTCTAACAGGAGAGCTGACTGCGGGGCAAACCTGGCTGCTCAGGGCTCCACGGGAGAGGGGATCATCCCCCCTTTGCTTTGTCACTCAGACAGGGGTGGCAAGCTGGGCCAGCCCTGCCCATTTCCCCTCTGTTGGCATCATCTGGGAGTCCCTGTAGCCTCTTGGCCTGGCTGCTGTGTGGCTGCAAGGGATGGGGTTCCTGAGAGGAACTTGTGAGACCCCAAATTCATCCCCTAGGCAGGGGAGTAGGCCTCGATGGGCAGGCACAATTGAGGGAGAATCCATTCTAGAACTTGGATGATGGAGATTTACTATGAAAATGAGGGTATGGGAGGCCAGTGGTGTGGTGTAGCAGACAGAGTGACCATTTGCAATGCCAGCATCACATGTGGGCACCAGCTTGAGTCCACTTCTGTCCATTTCCATCTTTGGATCCCTGCACCACATGGGAGACCCGGAAGAAACTCCTGTGGCCATTTGAGGAGTGAGCCAATTGGATGGAAGGCCTCTCTTTTTCACTCTCTAACTACCTTTCAAGTAAATTAATAATTTAAAAAAAAAGAAGCAAACACACAGGGGCCAGTGTCTGAGGTTGTGACTGGGTTCAGAATGTATGGGGGCCCAGGGAGGGGCCTTGGCAGGGCCATGCCTGGTTCCCCTTGGGGTTTCTGCTTCTGGACGGGCTGCTCTGTCTCCCCACACCTCCCCACAATGTGTCCCTGTGTCCCTGCCAACAACCCTCTCCTGGGGGCTGATCCATGGTGGCAGCATTTGTCCTGGGTGACAACATTAGGGCTGTGATGGGAGCTGCTCACCGGGTTTGGCCTGAGGCCTCTGGGGCTATGGACCCATTTGTTTGTAGAGCACGGATGCTCCAACTCCGGGAGGGAGCCGTGTGGGCTGTGGGAATGTAAGGAATCCACATCCACACTGGGCCGTTATGCACCTCACAGGGCTGGTGCTGAGCTGTGGGGCACAGAGCTGGACTGGTGTCAGCGTCCTGAGGTCACGACCGCTGGGGGCTGTGGAATTCATCTTCAGTAGGGTTTTGCTTACCCAGCCACATAGTTTCCTGGTCATCAGCTTAATCAGGGCAAGTGAAACAGTGCGAATAAACAAAGAAACAAGAGAACACTTGGAGGCCTCCTGTGATGGGGAGGGGCAGAGAACAAAACCATGCCAAGGGAGGGCGCACCAAGGGGCCCTGTGTGGCTGGATGTATGCCCACAGTGCCCATGCTTGCCTGTGTGTGCCCATGCATGCCCCTGTGTGTGTGTGTGTGTACCCACAGGGACCTATGTATGTCTCTTTGTGTGCCCATGTGTGCCCGTGTGTGTGCCCACAGGGGCCCGTGTGTGTGTGTGTGCCCACATGTGTATGCCTCTGTGTTGTGTATTGCATCTGTGTGTATTCTGTGTGTCTGTGTGTTCCCACGGATGTCTGTATGTCTTGTATTGCTTGTGTCATATATGTTACATGTCTGTGTGTGTGCCCTCAGGTGTGCACGTATACTCATGTGTGTATTTTGTCTGAGGGTATTGCATGTGTCTGAGTGTGTCCATATAATGTCTCTGTGTGTTGTGTAACTACCAGTGTCTGTGTCTGCATGTTTCTCCTGCCTGGGGGATGTGTGCTGTCATCTGGACCTGTACCCACAAGGAGTCTCTGTATGGGCAGGGCCTGGGCCCTCCACCCCAGCTCCCTTTAGCTGCACTGCCTACTCAGTTCTCCATGACTGAAGTACCACCTTTCCAATGGCCATGCAAGGGCCATGTCTGCTGGTCCCTAGAATGGAGGTCGTTATTAGGCCTCATTTCTCATCTGAATGAGAGACCTCCCACTCAACCTTCAGTCTTCATGGAGTGGGCAGTGGGGGACCCTGGAAGGTGAGGAGGGCTGGGACCCCAACATGGAGGGAGGCTGGAGGACAGCTGGAAGCCAGTGCTACCTGCCATCTGCAGGGTGGGCGAGGGAGGACAGAGCTGTTATGGCCATCTCCCAGGCTGAGGATTGACTCCCACATGTGATGTCTGGACTCCCTTCCTCCAGTGCTGGTGTTGGAAGCTGCCTGCTTGTAGTCCTGCTGGGGCTCCCTGCACTGTGGCGAGTGGAGGCCACCCCTGTTCTGCCCCCTTCCTGGCACATGGACCTTGTGTCGATGCCGCTGGTCCCCCTGTCTGCAGGCGTCCCTCACCTCCTGGGCACCTCTTGTCTCCACAGTGAGCCACTGTGGAGCATGAGGAACCTCCAGGGGGATTCAGCTGGGTGGTACCACACAGAGGGTGGGGGGCAGGGTCGCCGGACAATGTGGGGCCGGAGCAGCTGAGCATGGGAGGGCCAGGCTGACATCTGAACAGGACGAGAGAGGCGGAGCCTTTGCTTTCTCTTTTCAGATTGATTTATTTTAATTGAAAGAGTTACGAAGAGAGATTCCATCTACTGGCCCACTCCCTAAAGGGTCACGATGGCCAGAGCTGAGCTGATCTGAAGCCAGGAGCCAGTAACTTCTTCCAGGTCTTCCACATGAGTATAGGGGCCCAGGGCTTGGGTGATGCTCCACTGCTTTCCCAAGATATTAGCAGGATGCTGGATTGGAAGTGCAGCAGCTGGAACTTGAGCACCCATACAGGATGCTGGCACTAGAGGTGGAGGATTAGTTTGCTGCGCTGTGGCGTTGGCCCCTGAGAAGACTCGAAGCATTAGGGATGTCTTTGTTTTTGAAAAAAAGATTTGTTTATTTTAAAGGAAGGACAGCAAGAGAGAGATTGGTCTTCATCCTCTGGTTCACTTCCCCTAATGACTGCAAGAATCACAGCTGGGCCAGTGGGTAGCCAGAAGCCAAGAGACCCATCTGGATCTCCCACGTGGGTACAGGGCCAAGCGCTTGAGCCACCTTTCACGGCTTCCTCAGGCACATCAGTTGACAGGGAACTGGATTGGAAGCCAGGACACGAATCACTGCTCTGCCATGGGATGCCCTGAGCAGCAGCTCAATACTTGTACTACAAGGCCAGCCCCACACCACACCATGGCTGTGAAAGCACAGGAAACAAGGGTAAGCCACCCGACCCCCTTGGCCAGAGGCGTCTGGGTATCTGTGCTGTTCCCCCCCACAAAGGGAGGAGACCAAGGGAGCCTGGGGCGAGGACAGAGGGGCTTGCGGTCAGGTGGAGAGGCCCCTCTGCGCCTTTGCATCATTTGTGCAGAGGTGGTGACCTGAGCCCCTGGCAGCATGGAGTGTGTCCTGTGAGCTCCGCATGTCTGAGGCAGAGGGCCAGGCAGCCACCTGGCGCTGTACAAAGCCTTGTTGTCCTGCCTTCAGGACAACTCCAAGGACTGGGAGTGGCTTCCCCCTCCTCACACATCCTGGCAATGCAGAGGTCAAGGGGGTTGGCAGCACTGTGCAAGCGGCTGCCTTCGGGGTGTCCCTGGCTGGGGTGGCTGTTCCGACCTGGATGTCTGCAAGAAGGTCCTGGTCTTGCGCAGCAGCAACCTGGCCTCTGACTTCAGTGATGGAGCCCTGGCCAGGGCTTCACCGGGTCCTAGAACTCTACAGGACAAGAATGAGGCTAGGACCGGGGCTCCCGACCCAAGCCAAACCAGGCAACCCCACACACATCTGGCTCAGCACCCTCTGCATGTAGAGTGTTGGACTGAGCCCCGCAGGAACAAGTCTGGACTTTGGCTTGGAGGCATCATGCTTGTCACTGGGGGACTGTGGTGTGACGGCCCTGAGGGAGGCCACCGCAGTTCTGTTACTGGTGAGTTGAGGTCTCGGCAGTACCATGGCTGGGAATGTGTCCCTGGGGCCCTTACAGCAGGACGTGGGCGGAGTCTGCTGAAGGACCCCATTGTGTGGAGAAGCTGAAAGGCTGCAGAGCAGGCCAGGGAGGGCTGTGCCTTCTCCTGCCAGCACCTCCCAGGGCATTTGGGTGTAGCCAGTTGGTTCTGGACTGAGACCGAGCTCCTGCCTCCCCTCCTCCAGGGAACCTCCCCTGGGTTGGGG